GTTTCAAAGTCAATAACTTTCTTCTTAGGCATATTTTTGATATGACCGTGTTTCGTTGGAATGTGTTTTTCAAAACTTCTAACATTTCTTTCGCGCTTGTGCTTTCTTTTATCAGGTTTAAGTGTTGGTCTGTCACGCTTTGGACGATGATACTTCTCGCTTTTGCATCCATGAGTTTCATCTTCTCATCACAGTCTACTATTTTCTTTATATCCAAAACTTCTGTTAGACCTTTTTCTGCGAGTATGCATTTTATCCTGAAAACCCAGTTGTCGTATGCCCCTGCACTCAATTGCGGTAGCGGCGTGTTACTACTTGACATCGCCATTTTTATATTTCACAAATCCGCTTTTTCCCGAATAATCTACAATTAAAACTTTCCCTAACTCTAACTAACGGGCGTCTGGGCCCATAACCTATCAGAACTTGTGTTTCTTTAATGAAAAGACCGATAGTTAGCGAGATAAGCATTTATTATTCGGGTTCTTACACAGACACATCTTGTTCGTACATAGCCGGAAGAGGGAAGAACGTTCTACCGGAAACAGTTAACTTTTTAATATTTAATACACTTCCAAAGATAATATAATCCTAACATAGGGGGCAGAGCAGCTCATTCTGTGATGTAGTTATTTTGTATTTTTTTTCTCAGGTCCACCAAGAATTTGAAATAGCTTCTTTATGGTTATGTTTCTCGATGACACTTATTGTCGATAGCAACGTAATCGGCACTAACGTGGTGGTTGAAACAATTGAGCATGCTCAGCCGTCTCCACTTGAGCATGCTCCATTTGGTTGAGCTTTTTTTACAACCCGAACGTGCTAACTGCGCACCTCGCTGGAATGCGACTCCCTCCCACCTCCCCGCATTCGCCCAGTCAGTACCAGAGACTAATAAGTAATCTGTGGTACCAGAGCGTCGATGTGACGTCACTGCCGCTAGGTGCGCAGTTAACTCGACTGTAATGTAACAAAAGTTTGTGTATCTAACCATAACTAATCTTTACTTTCAGCACCATCCAGGAACTAGCTAGACGGGGAAGAATAATGGGTATTTTGGGTTTGACTATCTATAATCTATTCTATTCAAACAGAAATAAAAAAAATCAAAACTTAGCACCGTCTTTTTTTAACCCATTAACGCCCGCCGTACAATAAATAGTACACAACTTTAAGTTACGATAAATCTGGTTTAATTAGTATTTTTACCCTGGAAATAATTACAATCGGTAAACAAAGGTCTATGCATTATATCCTGAGATGAAACAGACCATAATTATACAATCTTAAGGGGGTATTTTGCGATTCCGTTTCAGTGATTTTTTCATGTCTTCTAGTGGGTACTTGATAATTTTTTATGCAAGGTTTAAGTTACACAAAATACCAAATAAGTTGTTTGTGTATTAGCTAACAAGATATTCTAATAAAAAATACATAAAAAAGTTCATTTCATGGAAAGTTTTTCATGCTATAACTCCCAAAGTGATGCTGTACAAACTTTAGTACAATGGGCGCTTGACACGTTACGTAAAATAGTACAGTAACGACATTATTATTAGAGTGTTTACTTATTTCTGCATAGTTTTTATATATAATCTTTGTTTTCTTTTTCCAATAACATGGCTCTTTATTTATGGAGTTACAGACAACAAAAAGAAACATTTTGTTTTCCCAATTACAACCTATTTGTCGACCTAAAGAGACTTAGTTACATAGTTTTTGGAACCACACGTGAAAACTTGTTCTGTTGCTCCCGCCGGTACTGGAGTCTTCAATCTCCAGTTCGTTGCTGTTTCTGTATTCTGGCGTTGTTTATCGACGTCTTCTGTTGAACGCTGTTTTCCTTTCGAAGTTTGGCGTGGTACGGACAATGGACGGTTTTCAAACTTTCTATATTTATCTTCTCTATATTCTCGCCGTGACTCCTCCCGCCGGTATGGAAGCTGCGATGACTCCTGTCGGTTTCTATTTGACGATGACTCCCGCCGGTTTTTCGATGACTCCCGCTGGTTTTGGGACGATCTTCCGTTTCTAATAGCGCCTGACGGATTTCTATTAGCAATTTTATCGACGTGCGTAGGCGAAACTATTGCGTGTATTTTTTCTGTAGGCGCAGCGGGTTCATGGTGCAGTAATTTGTGGTGCGTTTTCCTGCAGCCATTAACTTTGCACTGTATCCCTGGGCATCTGTGTGCTCTATTCCAGGGTCGAAGGCAGCGGTAGCACAGGCGCTTCTGTTTCGCCATCTCCCAGCGTTCGCTGCTTTCGGCTTTCTTAATCTTGCCGCAGTCGGTTACGGAGTGGTTGCCGTTGCACACTGGGCACGACGATCTCTGTACTGTCTTCTCCTCGATGTGGAAGACACGCTGGGTGTGCTGTTGTTTGCGGTATCGGTAACTATCTTCTCTGAAGATCGGTTCGGGAGTGGCGAATTTGGCACACTTCTCGGCTTCTCGCTCGATGAAGCGGCTGAATTTCATGAGGTCCGGTTCCTCCTCTGTGTGCTCCAAGGCGTAGTCATACCACCGGTAGCGAAGCGCCGGTGTCAACTTCTCGGTAAGACTATGAACTATCTCTGGGTTGTACAGGTAGTGTGTTCGCTCAAGTGCACGGAGAGTCGCTACGCTGTTCTGTATTCGGGAAGCGAACACACAAACCTGTTCCGGCGAATCGGTGAGTCTCTGTAGTCTCCTTAGGTTATCTATCTCGGACAGAGCTATCGAGTCCGGGCGGCCAAAGCGCATCTCCAAAGTGCGCATAATTTCTTGCGCCTTCGCGTTCACTATTAGCAAGGAGGTCACGGCTTCCTTGGCTTTTCCTGTAAGTGACCGCCGGAGTCTCGCTATATTTTCTATTTCACTGAAGAAACTCGCGGTCTCGGTGTAGGCCGCTTTGAAGGCAAGCCAATCATAGTGCGCGCCACTGAAGTTCGGCAATTCTCCGATATACTGTGGCTGCTGTCCGGCGCGTGCTGCGGTTGCGATGGCTGTTGCAAGTTCTGTGAGATCTATAAACTGCTTCGATGACGTCGGCTGCGGTGCGATGACGGTTACAGGGGATGGCGGTTGTAAGTCGCCATCTCCTTTCAAAGATGCCGAGTCATCATCTTCATCGTCGGACTCTTCTATTTCTATAAGCTTGCGGCGGGCGATGGCAAGCTCTAATTCAAGGCGGGCAATCTTAGCCTCCGCCTCGGCTAGTCGACGGGCGCAATCGGTATGCGAGAGCGGTGCTCGCGGTGAGGCCGTCGAGTGTTGTTCTTCTCCTGTGACGTCTGTTACGGGTGGAGGCTCCAAATGCATCAGTTCCTCCTGTGCGGTTACGGCGGACTGTGATGACGTCATGTGTTCCACAGTCGGCTCTGGTGATGACGTCATCGGCGGTGTAGCGGGCTGCGATGTTTTCGCCTTGCCTTTCCTCGATCTTGTCACAGGCATCTTCTATTTGTGCTATACTATGCCACTTCACGAAGGCCGCTTCGGTGTTCTCGAAGGTTCTGTAACTTCGGGATCGGTAGACAACGATCCGGCTCGAAGGACCAGAAAAATTGTGCAGGACTATTTATTATCCGGCTACAAAAATGTGCGGAACTGTCGGAAGCCAGATAATCGTTGACTGGAGTAGAAGAGCGGAGTGGGCTGTCGAATGCGGTGAACGGAGAGCGGTGGACTGTAGACTGTAGAAGCTCCGCTGGACGGTGTCTCCAATCTCTGCACTGCTATACTATAATCGGTGGTGGATCGTTGCCACGTCTTCGTACCTCGTGGCTTCTTTTAAATGGACGAGTTCTTTTTACGTTCTTACTACATTTTACAGCTAGCTGACTTCTTACTGCCACTTCTTTCAGGTGTGCTTCCCCGTGTAACTCAAAGCGATAAATAAAGAAAATAAATTAAAATACTTTATATTGCTTACCACATAAATGACAGAGAAGCAAAAGTTGTAAAAGTACAGTCCTATCAACTTAAGCTGAGAATTGCATTTGTGTGTGTGATCGCCAAAAGTACCGTTAGTAAAACACATACAAATAAAATTAATGTTTTATAAAAAGGAAGTCTATAAAACACTTGCTACCAATTGGGCCGATGTAACGACACTTGACACATCCTTTTAAATAAATAAATAAATAAAAACAGGTCCTCGCTCAGCATATGCCAAGGCACGAAGTAGGTACCTCGACGCTGATATTCTGCGAGCACGGTTTATAGAGAGGGCGTCCAGCCAGCCTTACAAAATACAACAAAAAGACAAACTTTATAAAATTACAAAATAAAAACAGACTAAAAACTTTTCGTTCACACCTTTAAAATACGTATTCAATTTGCATAAAATTTCTTTCACTTGGCTGCTTAATGGATTTCGTACAGGAAATTCACTTACAGTAGGAGCCATTTCACTAATATTTGGAACACAATTACATAAAATTACACGTATCTGCTACCAGTACCGGGGGTGAAGTGAAGTATGTGAGCGACAANTTTGCTGCGGTTTCATTTGATATTTTTAGGGTTCTGTAAGACGAATCTGTAGTCGTCCTGCACATATTTTTATAAAGAAAATAAACATTGGCTATGGGAAATTGACCGTAGTTTTCATTTGGGCGTTAATGGGTTAAATAATGTTTAGATTTTTCATACAAAAGGATTTTCCCGCTATATCCCGTTCCCGTGGGAATTCCTAAGTATACTATAACCTGCCCAGGAGTATGAAGAATAATTGTACCAAGTTTCGTTAAAATTCGTCGAGTAGTTTTTGTTTCTATAAGGAACATACAGAGTATACAGACAGACAGACAAAAATTTTACTGATTGCATTTTTGTCATCAGTATCGATCGCTCATAACCCCCTGATAGTTATTTTGAAAATATATTTCATGTACAGAATTGACCTCTCTACAGATTTATTATAAGTATAGATTTTCACGGCGCGCATCCTAGCTTGGAGCAGCTAAAACACGATATCATCGGAAATAGGTAGCAAATGAAACAAAACAACATCTTTTCACAATTTATTGCATCCCAACATGAGTTCTTTTCAAATGTCGCCTCAACGAGCACTTAGTTGCAAACGGACTGTTACAAATACTGCACGAAAACTTTTTCTCCCCCGTATGAGTGACCCGATGCCTCAGAACATCACTTTTAGTGTAAAATAAGTTATGACAGATATCACACTCGTGGTTTTTCTCCTTCTTATGAACGTTTTTCATGTGGTTATTACATAGACTTCTAGTTATGAACACTTTGGAACACACAACACACTTATGTTCTGGCCGGGTCATGCCATGTTTTTCAACTAGATGTTCCACTCTGAAATTTTCTTGGAAGAACCGTTGTGGGCAGTACGGGCATGGAAACCGTAGTTTCCTTTCAAACTTTACATCATGGACAGTGATATCATGGGATTTTTTGTCCGATTTATTATTGAATATCATGTCGCACTCTTTACAATGGAACAGCCTGTGTGCCCTCGACTTGTGAAGGTTCAAAAACACCAAATTGGAGAACCCAGATCCACAAATATGGCAGACTTGTTTCTGATAATGCTTGTTCATGTGTATATTCAGCAACCTAAACACGGTAAAGTTCTCCGAACATATCTGGCACTGCAGTTGACTGCTTATCTTGAAAGGTACTAGCAAATCTTCCTTGTGCACGAACTCTATTTTGTGTTCTTCATGTAGATGATCCCTCAATTCTGTTAGGTTTTCGATCTTTTTCGAGCATATTTTGCAGTTTATGATTGATACTTCCACTTTGACCAGTCGGTTCTGTTGATGGATTATTTTCTTCTCAATGTCTTCCAGAGTATGTTCGGAGCTGGTGTGTTCTCTTAGAGAATCGAGTTCGGGGAATGCCACTTGGCAGCAGAAGCACCTATACCAGCTCTTGTTCCATTGGAAGACACATATGGTGGAGTTGGCCAGGAGTTTCAGGGAATTTTCTCGGAGAACCGGTCCTACGCCGCGGCGTTCGACGATTTTCGACCAGTCTTTTTGGGGGTCTGGTGGGATATCTGAAAAAAGTATACAGTTAAAGCCTGGTCTGTGAGCACGTAGAATTTTGTCCAACGACCCCAAGCTACCCATCCTTATCGCTCGCGCGTAATTATATTGCTGTCGCGACTGTGCGACGGGCGCTCGCAGTGAGTGTGCGAGCAGACAATAGCGTCAAATACCTCTAGACCACTGAGGCGGCAAATCACTACCCAGATAACAATTTAAACTTGAATCTGACTTGCAATAAATTTGATGTATCAAAAATGAAGCTTTGTTTCAAATTTGCCATGGCAAGTATAAGGGAGAGTCCGCTAATTTGGACCAGTTTTTTTCAATCCCATTTTACACATAGTTTTCTCTTGTTTTTGCTAATGTCCATGGTATATACTTAATAAAATATAAATTATTCAACTTACTATTTCATGAGTATTAATTAACATGATTGTTGTATATTTAGCACAAATCAACAAAGTACGAGTTAAGAGCTTCGGTCCAATTTAGCCAACCGGTTCGATAATTTGTACCACAGGGTTACTAAATTGGATTTCAATAAATTTCAAGCCTATAAAAAACTATGGCAAAATATTATACGATATATTCTTAACAAATCAGGAAACGAAAAGGAACAGTAGTTAATAACATAGAAAAATCGGTAAGAAATATAGCTTATAAATACCGAAAAATGTTTCAAATAATTGTAATCCACACTAATTTACGCTTCTAAATAATATATATTAGAAACACCCGGTGATTAAATTTAACAAAATTACAAACTAAACATGCATAGTCAAAAGTTACTTGAAAACAATGAAAAAATATTTTTCTAAATAAAACACACGTGTTTGTTGTCACGGCAAAAACCACATGGCCGATATTAATTGAATTTAGTTGTGTATCGCTGAGTGTTGCAATTACAGACATTCAATAAATATTTTACGAAATATGAGGGTGGTACAATTTACCCGGCGGTACAATATACCGAACTCTCCCCTATAAACTTGAGGCAAGTTTAAATCAAACTTTCTAGTTTCCGAGCGACAAACTTGCATTAATGTTTTCTATAAAGTATATGCAAGTTTGACATAACAAACTTGCATTATGTCTGCTTCTATAAATTATATGTAAGTTTGCCTTAACAAACTTGCATTATGTCTGCTTCTATAAAGTATATGCAATTTTGCCTTAACAAACTTGCATTATGTCTGTTTCTATAAAGTATATGCAAGTTTGCCTTAACAAACTTGCATTATGTCTGCTTCTATAAATTATATGTAAGTTTGCCTTAACAAACTTGCATTATGTCTGCTTCTATAAATAATATGTAAGTTTGCCTTAACAAACTTGCAATAAATATGCATGTTTGACATTAAATAAAACAACAAACATAACATATATTTTTTTATTATTTATACTTTAAATTTTATCTTATCTTACTTTAAATGAGAAAAAATCGGTTTTATGGTCGCCGCTATTGCTTTTTTTCTTTATTTTGTCTTTCTGCTCTGAAACAAAAAGAAACAAGTATATTTACTACAGGTTAAGACATTATTTTACATTTAATTGTATAAGTTTCTGTACTACTAACAAAATTATGAACTATGTCTGAAATAAATATATTTATAGTAATCCTTAAAAACTACTATAAGGGGAAGGGGTTATCAGTTAAAATTCTGAAAGGAGCACATTTAAAATTTGTAAATCACTAGGTACATAGGTAGTATAAAAGAAAGTCGCTGTCGCTGTCTGTCTGTCCCTATGTATGCTTAAATCTTTAAAACTACGCAACGGATTTTGATGCGGTTTTCAATTACAATAGTTAGAGGGATTCATGAGGAAGGTTTATATGTATAACTAGCGACCCGCCCCGGCTTCGCACGGGGTTCTATTATATATAAAAACCTTTCTCATAAATCCCTCTAACTATTGTTGAAAACCGCATCAAAATCCGTTGCATAGTTTTAAAGATTTAAGCATATATATACAGGGTGTTAGGTAAATGGGTATATGAGCCGACACTAGCCCATGTTAGCATGGTCATATAAATGGTATGGTGAAGTCAGAAAATTGATATCTTCATTTTAATTTTTTTAATTTTCATACAAAATAAATTTTATAATATCCGATTTGTATGAAAATTAAAATAATTAAAATGATGATATCAAATTTCTGACTTCACCATACCATTTATATGACCATGTTAACATGGGCTAGTGTCGGCTCATATACCCATTTACCTAACACCCTGTATAGGGACAGACAGCGACAGCAACTTTGTTTTATACATATGTATAATACATGAGTACCCGTGTGAAGCCGGGGCGGGTCGCTAGTGTAAAATAAAATACATCTAATGTAAATAAATTAAATCTTACCTTCTTGAAAGTCTAACTTTAGCTTGATTTAGCCAATCACTTATAATTTCTTTTAGACTGTCTTCAGTTACATCTTCGTAGATTTTTCTACATATTTCTGAAAAATAAAATAGAAATAATTAACACTAACAAACACGAATGATTCAGAAAATAATAGTAGTAGGCGTATTGAGAGATATGCAGGTGTATCTAAATGAATTCATTGGCAACCTTGCAGGGGGTGGCTCAGATCAGCATTATGAACAACTTTGTTTTCGTGATCAGTTTTTGTATGAAAACAGGAAAAAAAATCGCGATCCCAGCATTGGTCATAGGAAAAGTTCATAATGATGGTCTGAGCCACCCCCTGCAAGGTTGCCAATGAATTCATTTACACCCTGTATAAGTTTGTAATAAAATAAAGGTACTTACGAAAGATTAATTTATAGGTTTCTGTACTCATAAATGATTTTTTATTCGAATTTTTCATCTGTTTCCCAGTTAACGAATACAACTCGGCTACATCATCTAGAATTATTCGTCTCAACATATTAGTCGTAAGGCTTCTTACATTTCTGCCGCCAATACCAGACAAAAATGACATCTGAAATTTAATTAAATCAGCATTAGAATGTTTTCATATAATAATAAAATTTGCCCTGTGTTTTAAGTATTTAATTTATACATACTATTGCCTGTTTATCCTTGTTTATTTTTAAATGGTCATCGAAATTATTAAAACTTGCAATATCTTTTACTGGTAGACTTGCCAAAAGTTCTGAAAGACCTGGATTGTCATCTGTTGATGAAAATGTTTCTCCGGACCTAGCTAACAGTAAATCCAATTTTCTATTGATTTCAGCCATTTGGTTAGCTAGGTCTGACATAATCTGAATCATATGACTCTGCTGTATAGCATATTGCTTGTTTGTAATGCACTCTGTAACAAATAAAAAAACATGGAAAAGCCATAACTAAAACAAGTGAAAATATGAAATTTTGTCGCATTGCATCTTTGACGAGAGAAGCTCATTGCATTTTATATAAAACCTGTTACCTGATTGGCAGTTAACAGCTTTAAGTTGCGTTTTCTTGGCCTCTTTAGAACCGGAGGTGACTGGGTAATTTACACCAGGCATTATGTCCACTGTCACTTCATTTTCTGCTTCAGCTATTAGCAACAAAAAAATATTAATTAAATTATGAATGCTTCATGCATAATAAAAATATTAAAATAAATTGTTATATTTACCGGGTAGACAGTGTGGGGCTTCTTCAGTAGGGCAATTTATAGTTGTGTTAACCTTGTCTGTAGGAAGTTCAACCTCATCTGCAATAGGAATTAATAATAATGTATAAGAAGCATCAAGGCTTATATTTTACACAAAAATAAATATGAGATTTATAGTTACCATATGTATAGATTTCAACATCACTAGAGCAGGGTAGACTTCTTGGACTAGTGATGACATCTATTGGCTCTGTGCACGATTACAGCGCCAACTAGCGTCCACAACTTTGTGGGCTCTGTCACATTGACATTTAGGTCGTATATTTGTGAAAAAAAATTCGAAATGAAAAAATAACAAATATTTTCGACTAATAAATTGTTGTGATATGTAACTTTACCAAATGTATGGAAGCTGGGAACATTTAATTTTCGGATAGTTCCAGTTTATTCTGAAACCTATTATTAGCACCGTTTGAAAGAGCTCGTGAAGCACTTTCAGGATCAGTAACCAGTTTTTCGATATCTTGTATAGTTTAGAAATAATCGAGTGAGATCACTTAATGTTTCCACCCTGTATACTTAGTATTTGTAATTTTACCTTCACTTTCGTCTTCGATCTTGCATTTCTTCTGCTTGGCGCGCCGCCCGTTGCCCTTTCGTTTCCGTGTCACCTTTTCTGAGTTTTCCACTAATTCCATCTTGATGTTCTGCAGGATTTCTGTAAGAAATATGATTAATAATATAGCGCCATTTTATTGCGTCCACCAAGGCAGAGCGAGCGGTGCGGAGCAGAGAAGTTTTTTGAATAACCAGATTCCATTATTTGCACATGTCCGCTCCGCTCCGCATCGATGGAAATGGATCGAGCGGAGAAGTGTCGGGCGCACTTGTTTTTTTATAGAACTAGCTGACCCGGCGAACTTTGTTCCGCCTTAATGGCAATAAATAAGCAGACTTTTTTTATTTCGAACGGGATAAAAAGTATCCTATGTCCTTCTCCTGGCTCTAAACTACCTCCCTGACAATTTTCAGCTAAATCGGTTCAGCCGTTCTTGAGTTATAAGTGGAGTAAAAGATTTGTCAGCGGCAGCGCCTGCGCGATGCAGAGATGTGCGATGTTTCATAGTTAAAGTTGCCATTTGGCTTAGAAACGCTTCCAAGCGCTTTTTTCTACCAAACGCCCAAGCATTTTCGTTGATAGAAGGTGGCCTTAAGACCCTCATCTAGCACGAGACGAGACCGCGTGGCAGTTATAGATTCAAAGATTATTTATTCACCGAGAGAGGTGCAGCTTATCTCACCAGCGTAGCTGGCATGTGAATTTGTGCATAAAAAATCATTATATAAATTGTATATTTCTTTATTGTTGTGCTAATGTCTAGCTCATAGAGAGATGCCATCTAATGCGCTGAGTTCGAAACTCATTGTCACATCTCCCTTTAGTTTCTGTGATCTGTGGTCAAGCTTGATTGTTACTGCTGTGAGTGTGCTGAGAGCAGTCTCCAAGTGATGAGCTTACCATCTACTTCTTGATAAATGTCAGCGCCTGTTTCGCCATCGTCGCAGCCAGCCTCAGGCTCCACCTCCAATTTGATTTCTGTTACCATCGTGGAGTCCGTTTCTTGAGTGGTTGCTGAAAAAATATAAATGTATAGACGACAGCACATCAAACTAAATGCATCAGGTAAACGATTTCCATTTCCTGTGCTGGAAACACACAGTTTATGGCAACAGAAGGAATTCATCATCATTTCAGCAACAAGATGTCCACTGCTGAACATAGGCCTTCACAAATGATTTCTATACCGCGCGGTTGGTAGCTACCTGCACCCAGCGCCTTCTTACTACCTTTATAAGGTCGTCGGTCCAACTTGTGGGTAATATCATCAATCACAGAGGGAAATATAATCATTGACAACCTGCAAATTACCTTCAGAACGTCTACTTTGGAACTGATCCCATCGTTGAAGAATAACGGCTTGGCTGTCCAACATCCTGGAACGGAATGCATACGCCTCTCGCAGTTGTATAACGCACTGGTCACATATCAACTGAACGAAATAATCTTCGGGGAAGTGTTTTGGTACCTGTGAGAAGGAGTTAAAATTGTTTTGTTTGCTAAGAGTAGGCACACACCGTTGATTTTTCGTCGGCCGATAGTTTAGTCGGGCAGTTGATCAGTATAGGCATGTATGGGAGTGCACACACTACGCCGATTCAATTTGGCCGATTCTTCACACAATTTGAAATCAGGCACAACTATCGGCCAACTAAAAATCAACGGTGTGCGCCTACTCTAATACAATTTGTTTTTAAAAATGAATGAGTTTTATTGTTTACATGGATTCTGTGAGGGATTTTCTCCAAACAACAAAACTTCTGTAACATTGAAAACTTTTTCAAGAGAAAAATGATTTGAAATGTTTATAAATATGATGTTTGTAGAGATACATATCCAACTTTACTAAAGAAATCACTACCTTTATATAGGAATTCAATCTTTTCATACAATTTTAAGGCAAATGATTGTGATAGAATAGTAAGTATAAAAAAACTTTATATGTGTCTAAATCTTACCTGCAGATGAAATGTTTCATTCAGCATATCCCCGTAAACTTCTTTGTGCCCGCTAAATTCATATTCAGAAGAAATATCTTTAAAGCAATCGCTTTTAAGGCAACAACAGCAAATGTTGGAAAATTCATATTCTGAACCCGTTTTCAAGGCAGAATTCATTTTAAAGAAGGGAAGAAATAATTTTACATTGATATTTGCAAATCACTTTCACTTTAATTACGAATTTAATTCAGAAATCGGTTTTTATAGATTTTCTATGTACGTTCCTTGTCGATGGCATCTGCCAAAAAAACAAACAGGTAGAGATGAGACGTATTTACTAGAACAGATCCACATACTAGGTATTTTATAGTACTAGGCGGCACCTATTCAAATTTTTTAAATACTTGATCCACCTAGTATTTTATAAATTACACGATTTCCGACCCTACCGTCAAAGTAATAGAGGTTATTATTGCGTAATCCGTAGTCGTGTATTACGCGCACCTAGTATTTCTCGCTAAGCTTATGTGCGAACGTAGAGATTCACTCCGTCTCTGTCTGACCAAGCAAATTTGAGCGCGACGAAGCAAACGCACACAAACGTAGTCAAACCATATTCATGTAAATAAGAAAAAAATATGTAAATATTTTTATTACATTGATATCTTTTAAATACGCCAACTTTTAAGTTGACAGTCCTAAGCCTGTTGAAGTATGAAGGGAGGAATCATTATTCAATTTCAAATTGCATTATTCATACTACGGTTGTATCTTTTAAAAAAAATGTATTTTAAAGTCATATTACGTGGATTAGTCCGCACTAGTTGCGTCAAGTATGCTAAATTACTACGTACTAGGTGGAATAGGTATTTGGATCGAGTATTAGTAAATACTAGGAATAGGTGCACCTAGTATCAAATTTACCTAGTATAACCCATCTCTACAAACAGGACTGGAGACTGACAGTTTACTTTTTAACTTTTTGTGCGTTTCGTTTAACACCTTTTGCGCGGTAGTTTTAAATAGGTTGACTGTAAAATATTTTTTAAATGAAAATGTCAGTGTAAGTATCTGCCAAATTCGCTAGGAAAAGGAAAGTTTTCTTGAAAGATTTTTCAGTTTATTTATTTTAAAAGTGCATGATGACTACAGACAAGAAGAAAGATCCGAATTGTGGAGATCTTATTCGACCACAACCTAATATTACAGTAAATAAAGGTAAGTTAAGAAGATACCTACCTAATAAAAAAAATCTATGAAAAGAATCGGTGGTGGTTCAGGCGCGAAAATAGTAAGCCTAGTAGACGCAGCAGACCTCGTCAGAGTAAATATATTTTTTGACGCAGACCAACGAATTTTAGTTGGCCGACAGTTTGGTCGGGCTGGCTTTTGGTATGGAGATGTATGAAAGTGCGCACATTACCTATTATTACCGATTTGGTATCGGCCGACTCTCATACAAATTACAATCGGGCCCAACTATCGGCCAACTAAAAGTCGGTAGTCTGCGCCTAGGCTAGCAGCCAAATAGACAGAATTTCGTATTTAAATTAGAATTTGAATTTATACAGAGATTGCCGAAGAAATCGGACGCAACTACCGCACCCTACCGATATTTGAGAAGGGCTTATTCGAGTACACGTATATCAAACACTACTCGCTTCAGAAGAATGAGTATTTGAAGTGCCACTGGGCGAAATATAAAAGGAATTTTGAGGAACGCGTCTTTGCGCCCTTCCAGTTTCTGGATATACGGTTAGTGGTTTAAATCCTGCAATATACGGGAGACGAAAAGATGATTGATTGATTCCTCCTACAACCTGCTGATCGAGTTAACTGCGCACCTCGCTGGAAAGCGATTCTCCCTCGCGCCCGGGTGGGTGCAGCATACCTCCCCTCCCCGCGTTCGCCCCGTCCGTACCATGAAGCTAAAGATAAAAATGGAGGGCAGAGTTGGAACAAAAACTTGAGTCAAATACCTACTTATATCTATCTCGCTCTCTGCGGCCCTACCTCTCTTTTTAGTGTAAACTGTAGTATTGCTATCTTCCGATTCAAATCTCCTTGTAAATTCTTCGAAATAGCCAATTCACTAACCAAATCAGAAGTTAAACAAATAAATAATTAATATTTGAAACTAAGATTACCTAGTTAAATAAAAAATCACAAAATTGTCGGCCATTTAGGCTTAATGTGTTGGCGAATCAGGGAATTACAATCCCAATTCCTGGGTAATCGGTACCATGTGGCAACATCGGCCCAGTCCGGCCCATCATGGCGGTTGTTTACTATTTTGATTATTAAGCAGTTAATTTCGTTTGAGATTGTTTACAGGAAATAATCATTGTTTTATCACAAGAATTGGTGCAAAATTTTGTAGTGCGTGGTTGCGGTAGTACGTGGTGTGGATCATTGTAAACATTTTTCACATTTTTTACAGTAATTTCTTCCTAAAACGTTTTACCAGTAATTACACTTATCATTTTTAATGATACCTATGTCAAGAAATAAAGATTTTACATTGGTTTCATTGAATTTGAGCAATTTTATATTTTTTGTTTATTTAGAAAGAGCGAGTCTGCCCACAGAGAGCGAGATAGTGATACTTAGTTTGTGCTTCAAGTAGGTATTCGGAGTGTGGCCTCCATTTTTATCTGTAGCTTCATGGTCCGTACCAGCGAGCATCGCTGTGATGTCTCGGCTGCCAGGTGCAAGGTTTCTTGACCGGGCTGTAACTACCTAATTATTATACCAGCAAAACTTCTTACCGGTCGATCTGGAAACCATTNGCTTCATGGTCCGTACCAGCGAGCATCGCTGTGAAGTCACGGCTGCCAGGTGCCAGTTAACTTGACCGGGCTGTAACTACCTAATCATTATAGCAACAAAACTTCTAACCGGTCGATCTGGAAATCATTGGGGGAGGCCTCAGGTCATTTCTACGATCTGAGGGGGAGGCCTATGTTCGTTGTCCAGCAGTAGACGTCTTGTGGCTGAAATTATGATAATGACGACGAATCTAATCTCGAAAAGGACAGTAGGTACCTACTAACAATGAACATAAGGGATCTTGAGGGGATATGGTGCATTCTCTCTGTATGTTTTTACTCATAAATTACTTACTTATACTTATTTTCTTTATTGTCCAATACTTACTGAAGGCATATCCTTGTGTACTGATAGCTGATTTCTTCTCCAGAGACTACCACTTCTACAACTGCAAGAATCGCCTCATACCAGCGCTGTCTATCCATACAAAGACTGAATTCCGTCGCACTCTGAAACCGGGTCCGGGCGTCGATCGGCTTGGCCAAATGCCGATACCCCAAGAGCTGCACATGAAACGCGGCGAAAAAAAAATAGAGAAGAAAAAAAGGAGGTCGTCGGCGAAAGGGAAGGGAGATGATAAGAAAGAGAAGGATGATGGTAAGAAGGAGAAGGAAGATGAAAAAAAAGAAAAGGATGATGACAAGAAAGAGAAGGCTGACGATAAGAAACCCAGTAGGTCGAATCTATGAACTTTGGTGGTTATGGCCATTTGACCATGACCATAACCATGTGCGGCGACCATGTGCAGATTTACAAAAATCTTGTCTAATTTATACCAATTAGCTATTAATATTTATTTAATTTGTGTTAGTGTAGCTTATCTTTTTAAGAATTGTTTTGATTTGTTTTAGTTTTATTTTAAGCCTTTGTTGTTGTCTTACATACTTAATTGTAATTTATAGCCTGACCAGGAACATAAAAACCCTCGCCATGTTGCGGAAAATTAATGGTACTAATTTCTTTTAATGGCAACAGTAACTGAAAACTTCATTGATATGTCACCATGCATGTCAGTCTATTGCTGTCAAAGTGTAAACAAACTTTGTTTTAAATGTGTGCAATTGATTTTCTGAATTAAATTGCTAAAATCTTTTTATAGTCGCGAAAGAAAAGTGGTTCACAATGTGTTAAAGTATTTGTCGAAGAGAAATACTAAGGGTTCGGACAATATTTTCATTAAATAATGTTTCCGACAAAGGTTGTCAAATTGACTGACATGTTTATCGTATAGTACAGTCAACTATGAAAATTAGCTGTGGTTTGTTTCAACTACCTATTTTAAAGATTTTTGTCACTTTGTAAGTGTTGAATTTTATGGAATTGAGAAAGAAGTACCGAGTTTGAAGCGTTCATGAGCAGACATTGTAGTTGAATATTCAAGTTCAGAATGTTATTATTGATGAATAATAATAAAATCCTACTTGCTCGATTGATGGTTTCATTTAATTTATTTAAACCAGTTTACCTATAATGTAATATTTTTTTGTTAATTTATGAAACATTAAATTAGCCTATAATCCTGAATCCTGATACATAAAGTTAACCTATTAATTTCATACAGGTACGACTGTACCCAGTGTTGCACTATCAAATGCAATTGACGCGCCTCTATGCCAGGGTTTTTATAGATGACCCACGCTGAACTGTCCCACCAAACTCAATGACAGGGGGGCGCTACCATCGTTCAACTATATGGTTTCCAACATGGCAAAAATCTGAACCACCGATCCGGTATTGACGGTGGCGCCCCACTGTCAATGTCATCGACAGGACAGTCCAGTATTTTGGAACTATATGTTCCTGGTCAGGCTATAGAATTCCAATTTGCACCAGTAAAATTTATTTTATAAAATATTTTTGTGAATTTTATTTATAAGTAAGGTGACTTACGATTAATAAAACAGTTGAGTAGCTATATCCCTTTCGGACCCGCGCTTAAACTAGAAAGAAATTTTTAATTTTGAAAATGAATTTTAGGTAATTTGGGGCCGCAGATTACGAATCTGCTATAATTTTCCAGATTTTCCGCCGCCATCTTGGAAAATTCATATACCAACAATTGTATCAAACTGGGCCCTTCACTTCCCACGTACAATTGTGAGGGTAAAAATTGTAAGGGTTTTAGAAATTGTATCAATGGCATGTATTCCGAAAAACGTATTTATAACCCGTAAAGAATAAAGAGGTTTCAATTTTATACCAGTATTTGCCATTTAATAATGATTTGTGGGCAAAACCATCTGTTCCATGAGCTCAACAGTAAATATAGCGCTCGAAATATTCCTATGGAGTTTTAATATCTCCTGGATCATGAAGAGCATCTCCTGGAAGAGGTTGACGATTGAAGGGCTTCGTCTGCTATGCCGCTTGCATACTCAGAGGTATGTATCGTCATGAATGTCTGAGCCTTCATCAGAAGAAGAGTTCATCTGAAGTAGACGAAACTAGCTTTTGTCGTTGTCATCGCTCTCATCTCCAGATGCATTGAGCATCTCTGCGATAGTAGCGTCGTTTAAAATCGGAAACATGGTGCGGAAACCATGAAAAATTAATAATTATGAGAAACTTAAAATACGCATAAGGTATTGTAGGGCCCACGTCGATACAATTGTGTCAGTAAAGTTCGTTAAGCCGTTACGCCAAAGTCTTTGCTTACAAGTAGTCACTGTTATCATCAAAAGATGCTATTTTTATCTATTTGTCTATTTACTAACTTGTATATTACTACAATTACAAAATAAAACTATAGTAGGCACTTTCTTTCGCCAAGTCGGGGAGCGCAATCAGTCATGAACTGTACAGGTTGTAACCTGCTCACCAACTGCGCTTCGGACAAAATTTGCACGGGAGGTGAAAGAACGCATCCCGCACAATCGTACGATACTCAGCCCATCCACTTCCGATGTAAAACTAATGAGATAATCTCGATTTTGTAACCCGCACAATTGTATTGGAGCGGTCCGAAAGGGATATATTTTTTTATTAACAAATAAATAAAAAATAAAAAAGTACAACTCCTGTCTTGTGCGTAGATATAAAAGTCCGCCACATGAAAGTACCCATTCCTAAGTAGGTTCGTTCGTTCGTTTCAGCCGAAAGACGTCCACTGCTGGACAAAGGCCTCCACCAAGGATTTCCACAAAGACCGGTCCTGCGCCGCTTGCATCCAGGTACTTCCCGCGACCTTCACCAGATAGCCCGCAGAATCGCTAAAATCAAGTGGCAGTGGGCGGGGCACATAGCTCGAAGAGCTGATGGCCGCTGGGGCAGGAAAGTTCTTGAGTGGCGACCACGAGCTGGAAGACGTAGCGTGGGCAGGCCTCCCACTAGGTGGACCGACGATCCTAAGTAGGTACCTACTACAATTTACAAAGTGCACTAGGTACAATCACAATTCCATAAGTATGCCAAAGAAAATCCAGTTTTGAATTTGCTGGCAAGAAAATTTAGGTATAATATAATCATTCGGACGGCTTATTCTGCAATTCCTCAACAGCAGTCGAAGAATTTCCATTTCCATGCGATTCTTTCATGTGTTTCCTAAACTCTATCTTACTAGGGAACCCTACCCAGCAAGTCGCACAAGCGAACTTCCAATCTGGATTATGTACTCGCATGTGAGCTTTCACATTTTTTTCATACTTGTAAGTTTTATTACATAAAGGACAGGGGTAATTCCGTTCTTCCGTGTGCATAGCCATATGCTTCTTCAACTGCCCTCTATCGCCGAATGGTTTCTTACAAACTTCGCACGATATGCTTTGTATATGGTACTTCAATTTGTGCCCCGCCAAAGCTTTTCTAGTCTTAAATACAGAGTTACACGTTTCACAGACATACTCGAAAGATATCCCATGATTCTCACTCATATGCCTCATTTTTTCGTAATGATGAGTGAATCTGGCCGAGCAGTGCTGACAGTTGTATATGTTGAGGATTTTATTAGGTTGTCCGTGCATCCTTTCGTTGTGGTACTTAAATTTAGCTGGGCTTTCAAAGGATATCTTGCATTTATCGCAGTGGAACTTCCCTCGGAGATGGATCTCTTTATGCTGGACAAGCCTCTGGTGTGTTATGAAGCCTTTGCCACACCACTCGCATATAGCGTTGTTGAAGTGAACATTGATGTGTTTGTTCAAGAGGAAGAAACTAGTGAACGTTTGGGTACACAAATGGCAAGATAGGACACCGTCTTTTGACTTCAAACTGTACACCATCATGCCGTTACCAGAGTCATTGTTGAACTTCGTAGCGTGCTCGTGTACTAAGTGCTTTCTGATATCGTCTACATTAGAGAAAGGGTTATCACACAGCTTGCATTTCAATTCCGATATGTCCACTTTAATGGTCTTCTTCCCTTTCTTTAGTAGACCTTTAAGCATATCATTAAGATCAGGGACTGGATGGTGGTTTGTGTGTTCTAATAGCGTGTCCAGTTCGGGGTGTACTTCGTTGCAGTAGAAACATTTGAAGCGGAGAGGGAAAGACATGTACGTGAAGGGCCTTAACGTAGTCTTCTGGAGTAGGGTGGCAGCGTTCTCTCGCTCCATGAGAGTCATGGACCATATACTCGTCGATGGCAGCAATTTTGCTGGCGCTGAAAAGATATAATTGTTAGTAAATTGACGTTTTACCCAAGCACTTGGCTTCAAATTGAACTTATTTCAAAAATCAACCACGATCAACTTACTGCTAAACTATTTGTTTAGGTAAATAGGTAGATGTAGTTAGACATTGGGTCAATGTTTCTGGCGAATCACGTAGAAGTCATGGAACCTACCTACAACGAATTACTGAACAGTAAAGAAGGTCTCACTCAGTTGTGAAATGAGGGATGAGAATAAAATTCTGAGATTGTTTTATTTTCCCTCCACATCCTGCTCCTCCAGAATCTGGCATTGTCTTATCAAATCCAAACTGTGACTTTTCATGTGTTTGTTCAATGTAACTTTGTGAATATACGCGCTTTTACAAACTGGACACACAAACGTCCTCTCCCCAGTATGTCCACGCATATGCAGCATCATCCTTGATTTAGTCCCGAACCTTTTACAGCACACATCGCATTTGAATTTGTCTGTGTGGCATTTCGTCATGTGCTCCGTCAGAAACCGACGAGCACGGAAATTGGCTTTGCAAATGTGGCATTGAAAGGTCTGGCTTATTCCATGAGCTTCCCTCAAATGCACCATCTTGCTGTAATGTTCTCTGAAGCATTCAGAACAGTGTGGGCACTTCTTTGGTTTAGCTCTTTCTCTGCCTTTGTGGACGATCTGGGTGTGATACTCTAGTTGGCTCTTCTTGAAAAACGTCTTGTCACAATGCTTGCAATTAAACCTATTCATAAGATGGACCTCTCTATGTTTCATGAGGTGGTGCTGGTTGATGAATCCGACGCCGCAAGTCTCACAAACTACTTTCCCAACATGACTATTCATATGGGTGTTGAGGAGTACAAATTCATGGAATCCTATTCCACACACATGGCATGTGTACATTCCGTCTTTAATTTCCAAATTGAACTCTGTAATCCCATTGCTGGCAGCCTGGAATTCCTTTCCGTGGACATTTTCTAAATGCTCTCTTACTGTTTGGAGATTGGTGAAGTTTGACGTGCACAAACGGCATTTGAGGTTAGAAATATCGACTAGGACACACCGCTTGCCCCTGGGCAGGTATTTTTCAAGGAGAGAGTGTTCGTCTATGGTTTCGTGGGTAGTTGTGTGAAGAAGGAGTGAACTGATCTCCGAGTGGTGTTCTAAGCAGAAGAAGCATTTGAAATATGAGCCCATGAATACGAAAGGCCTGGCGGTGGTCCAACATATGAGGGCAGCCGCGTTTCTCCTTTCAAGCGACGTTAGTTGCCAGATACTCGCTGCCTTTCCATTTTCTGCGAAAGAAGAAATTAGGATTTTCAGTAAAAGCAGCTTCATATTACACGTATGTATTTATGCACACAACTTCTGACTATGAAGTTATGACGTCACAATGCCAATGTCACTCGGAGTGCGGTGGTCAAAGAAATGGTTTTCCCATCGTCCCTGTAACAAACCCATCATAATCGTAGTCTCTTGAAGAAATCACATGGTGTGATGCATACCTACCTACCACTTATTAAGGACATAAAGGTAAGAAATAAATGAAACAAACACGTGTTAAAAATAATATAATACTGGCATGGTTTATTTACAATTAAATTAAATACACACAAAGAGATCAATATGAGCGTGTAATGCCCCTTTAAATAACTACAGAAAAATAAATCATTGTTACAATAATTTGCCGTTCGAGCATTCATGGAAGATGACGATGCATCAGTACATTCCACTGATCATCTCGGACTAACCGTAAAACGATTTTGAACACAGCTTGGAGATGTAGGTACTACAAAATGACACCCTTTACCTTTGGATTTGGAGCTAGGTATACTGCTTGAGGGATGATCATTTCTAATTTGCTAAACATTGGTGTTTACTGTAAAATTGAAATAGCAGCGTGGGTGCCATTCTCTGACGTGTCTGTTAAACTCGTTCCTATTAGGGAACCCATTGCCACATTCTGCACATGTGAACTTCGTATAATCTTCTCCCTGGACCTGCACATGTGATCTCATGTGCAGTTTCAGACTCTTCTGATGTCTGTACGCCTTTTGACATAACGCACAGACGAAGTTTCTTTCTTCAGTATGCGAAACCATATGCTTCTTCAAAGAAGTGACGCAGCTGAAACTCTTTTTGCAAATCTCGCACTGAGTTTTTTGTGTGTGATACTTGTTAGTGTGCATTGTCAGGGTTCTACGGCTGGGAAATATGGACTTGCAGACTTCGCACTCGAAGGTAAAAGTGATTCCGTGGGCGTCTTTCAAGTGCTTCAACTTTCGGAAGTGTTCGGAAAACTTTTCGGGACATCGGGGGCATCTTAACATTCGCATTTTCGTAGCTCCTTCGTGCGTTTTCTCTATGTGATATTTGAGATTGGAATTTGTAGTGTAAACCTTGTTGCAACGATCACATGGATATCCCCCAGGTAGGTGGATCTCTTTGTGTTGAACCAAGCGCTGGTACGTCATAAAACCAGCGCCGCACGTTTCACACACGACATTGCTAAAATGGACGTTCATATGCCGATTCAAAAGAATAAACGTTTGGAATATCTTGCTGCATAGATGGCAAGAAAATTGCCCGTTTCTTAACGTCAGGTTGTAAGCTACAATCCCGTTGCCGGCTTCTGTGAATTTCTTTTCGTGTTCAGAAGTCAAATGGTTGCGGACCTCGTCCAAGTCTTTTAGTTCTTGCTCGCAGATTCTGCAATTAAGGTCTGCTATGTCTACTTTGACTGTGCGTTTCCCTTTCGGCAGCAAATCCTTCAATATCGTACTACTGTCTGGAGTCTCATGTTTCTTACTGTGCTGGAGGACGCTATGTACTTCTGCGAACTGTTCTTGGCAAAAGAAACATTTGAAATAGTATCTGCAGTACACAAAAGGTTTGGCTGTACTGTTCTCTAGTATAATGGCAGCATTCTGTCGCTCAGATAAAGTCATTTCCCACATGCTGGTAAGCACTGCTGGTCTCCGTTTACCTCCTTCCTTCTGTGGTCCTGGGGAGATAAAATTTTTGTTTAGTTAATGCCCCTTTATTTTTCTTCTTTGTTAAGGAGAAGCCGCCATCCTGATTTTCCTTTCACATGCAAGCATATAGTTTTAAATTAAGGTTAAGTCAAAATATGCGATGTCTTTAATGAAACTGTCTTTTAGGTATTATGTTAATTTCACGGTAACTACCATGATTTTGCTTTTAAAAGATTTATTACTCGTAGTTTTTGTAAGGACGAAAGTATTTTAAGTGTGTAAATTAATATCATCTTTGGCAGTAGCATTATAAAAATACAGGAATAAGACTATCTCAAAATGACAAATATTCCTATTTTTACGCATTCATAACTTCACTTCCGAAATTCTTCACAATCGTCTTGAACTGCCACTGAGGGTGCCACTGCTTCATGTGTTTATTATAATCATTGCGGTTATGGAACCCGTTCCCACATTCTGAGCACGTGAACTTCCAGACTGGGCCATGAACCCGCATGTGTTGTCTTAAAGTTCTTTCGTGCATGTATGCTTTTTGGCAAACGCTGCAGTAGAAGTTTCTTTCACCAGTATGCCCTCTCATATGCATCTTGAGCAACGATTTTGTCCCGAAACACTTCCCGCACATTTTGCATTGTATTTTCTGCGTGTGAAGCTTGGTTGTGTGCTCTGTTAGGGCTCTTCGCGTTGGAAGCACTGCCTTGCAGACTGGGCACTCAAAACTGAAAGTGATCCCGTGCGCTTCTTTCAAATGCGTCATCTTCCTATAGTGTTCCGCGAATCTCTCCAAACAGTGAGGGCATTTCAATGGTTTTATCTTCTTGGCATTCGAATTTTCATGTTTTTTGAAGACATGATAACGCAGCTTCAGTTTTGTCGGGAACACTTCTTGGCAGCTGTCGCATTTGTGAACTCCGTTTTGGTGGACTATCCTATGGTTGATCAAGCGCTGGTGAGACATAAATCCTAAGCCACAGGTTTCGCAGACCACGCTGAAGTGGACATTCATGTGTCTGTTAAGTAAGAAGAAGGAATTGAAGGTTTTTGAACATTTATGACAAGATAGCAAGCCGTTATTTGTGCTCAAATCGTAAGCCATCAGCCCGTTGCCAGCTGAATTAAACTCCTTCTTATGAGCTGCAATGAGATGTTTTCTAATATCATCCAAATCGGAATATTTTTGCTCGCAAAGTCTGCATTTCAGCGCTGATATGTCTACTTTGATGACGCGCTTGCCTTTCCTCAAATATTGCTTCAGCAGTGAACATCTTTCAGGAGTAACATGGAAAGCAGTGTGTTGCATGAGAGAATGTATCTCTGGGAAGACTTCGTTGCAAAAGAAACATTTGAAATTGGCCTGCTGGTAAAAAAATGGCTTGACCGTGGTACATTCGAGAAAGGTGGCCGCGTTTTGCCTCTCTGATACGGTCATTTGCCATATGCTGGTCCGCGGCCCTGGTTGGTGTCCTGCAGGCTCTCCTGGGAAAACAAAATATTCGTTTATTTCTTTTTGTCTTCTCGCAGAAATTGTGCAAACTGTGTCAAACAAATTTCAACCTACTGCGTGCGTGCGATTCACTGCATTATAGTGATGGATAGAGTTTTAATACAGACTTCAGTCTGTGGTACAGATGAATGAAAAGTACTAAGTACTAATTCCAGATTTTTTTATTAAGAATACACATTATTTTACAAACTGGTTTACTAACGATTGTAAACAATACTTGTTACCCATACAATAATCTATTTTATGTATCCTACTACATTAATCTTCATTCATTAGTAAGTTTATCAGTTCAGTTAAATTATTCTACATTCTATAATACTCCGTGGACTCCATTCATATGCGCGCCAAGGGACGCCTGATCAGCACAAACTTGACCACAAACAGAGCAAGTTTGACTTAGCTCATGCACTCTAAAGTGTTCTCGTAAATTCTTTCTCCTAGCATAGGCTTTTCCACATACATTACATTTGAAGTTCTTTTCTCCTGTATGTATAACCATGTGTCTTGAGAGGCAGTACTTTGAAAAGAACCTAGAGTGGCAAATGGGACATTCCTGATTCCGCTCTTGGAGGTGAACAGATCTTATGTGGATCAGAAGATGGTATTTCAGGTCGTATTCTCGCCCACACGTTTCACATCTATACAGTCCGTTGGTTTGATTGTGGACTATTCTTAAATGCTTAGTCCTTTGGTAGTTGGAGTTGAATCTTTCAGGGCATATAGGGCACCGTCTGGGTAGCTGCTTGAGATGAACTCCTCTCATATGTAGTGTCCTCTTAGCAGAGTTACTAAACACCTTGTCACATTTCTCGCATGGGTAGTTCCCGGAGACATGCGTCTGTTGATGGCGTTTTAAAAGATTCAATGATATAAAGACAGACCCACAAACTTCGCAATTATAATTATTGAAATGTTTACTCATGTGGATGATAAGGAGCCTCAGCTTCAAGAAGTTTTCTCCACAGACTTGACACTCGAACGTACTTCCACCTAATCGAAAAGGTATCAAATTATCGGTCAGTTCTAAGTCAATATTTTTGCCGTGATCTTTTAGATGGACTTTCAGAGCTTCGAAATTAGGAAGCTGCTCAAGGCATATCCTGCATTGTAAATCTGATATATCAATCTTTAGATTTTTATCTCTCAACCGGTTATTTAGTTCTTTTTGTAAATCTTTAATGTTATGCTCTCTAGTCGTGTGTTCTTTCAGTAAACTTGGATCCAGAAATTGTTTGGCACATACAAAGCATTTATATTTGTTACCAGAATGCACAAAAGGATAGACGTAGGAGTTTTCGAAGATAACCAAAGCATTTTGCTTCCACGCTTGGAACTCTACTGCGTTTGCCTTTCTTGAAGGTCGAACGTAGGAGCCTTGGATAGTTTTCACGTTATAGGTCACTTGACTAAGCGGTTCTGCCATTCTGTTCCATTCATCAAGACATATCGGGTCTTTCAAAAATAGTACGCTGGTAACATTGTTGTTAGGGTTCGACAATTTTAAGGGTTTACGAACTTTAGTATCTTCAGTATATTGATGGGGTATCTTATTGTTTTTTTGTGGTGCATCTTCGTATTCCCACTTCAGGTTGTCAAGGCATATCGGGGTTCTGAGGATATTGAGTGTGATGTTGTTGCCTTCATCGTCTTTGATGGTAACCGTGGAAGGACTTGCTTGGATGATCCCTAGAAGAAAAATAAAATTTCTATCATATTTATAAACGTCCATTTATTCCTAACACGTAGGAGGCAGTACAGTATAAGTAAAAGTAAAACAAGTAGAAAAAAAATATGAACAACGTACCGACGAAATATTTATTTAAATAAGTTTCTTTTTCATAGTAAGTAGCTCTACAGCTGTTAGAGTGATCAAATTAAATAAAATTCCAAGTTTACATTAAAATATTTATTATTCGTTCATAAAATTAAATTACATATTACAGTCTATTGACGAAACTTATTGTTTAAAACCAAGGACACATTATTTATTTTATTAGAATTAGTTAAACTATGATGGTTTAATGTCATTATTTAAAATATTGTTAAATAAAAGCTTTCTAGTTTTCCTGTTTTAGAAATAAAATAAATTTCTTTGATCATAAATAACAATTATTATTAGTAGCTGCTATCTACCACAATGTCAGATTTATGAAAAAATAATTTGTATCTTATTATGATAAACTATTGTAAGACGAGCTTCATAAAGGTGATTCTCGATAAACTTCAGTATATTACAAAATAGAAAACTACAGTTAAAACAGTCAATATCCTCATAAAAACAATTCATCCGATTCCATGTGACCTAAGATGGTCCTTCAAGTTCTTTCTCCTAAGGAAGGCCATACCGCACATCTCACATTTGTAATTTTTCTCCCCCGTGTGAATAACCATGTGGCGTTTCAAAGTCTCTTTGTTACAGAATCTCTGGTGACAAACGTCACATTGCTGGTTCCTCTCCTGCAAATGCACAGATCGAGTGTGACAAATCAGATGGTACTTCAAATTGAACGCTCTGCCACAGATCTCGCATTTGTGGACACGTGTGGATTGATTGTGAACGTCTTGGAGATGGATCGTCCTTTTATAGTTCGAGTTGAACCTCTCCGGGCATATTGGACACCTACGAGGGTACTGTTTCATATGCACCCCTCGGATATGAAGAGTTTTCTTGTACGCTGTGCTGAAGACTTTGTTGCAGCGATCGCAAGGGAAGTTTCCGCTTTCGTGCACTTTCAAATGGGTCTTCAAGAGTCGGAGCGTCATGAACCCTGAGCCGCACACTTCACAACTGTAGTTGTTGAAGTGTATGCTCATGTGAATGACTAATATGCGGACTTTGATGAAGTTCTGCTCGCATATTACACACTTGTAACCACCCTCGTTCGCTTCTAATTTAAATGGTATGATATTATCTTTCAAATCAGGGTCAATCGGTTTTTGGTGCGCTTGCTTTAGGTGCACTTTCAACTCTGTCAGGCCATTGGGTTTCGCGGAGCAAATCTTGCATGCGATGTCGCTTACGTCTACTTTTAGGATATTCTCGCGTCTGTTGTTGACCAATCTTTTCAGCGGAGCAAATGTGTGCGCTTCATTCATGTGGTTCTTTAGCAACGCTGTTTCTAAGAAAGATTGTGAGCAGATGAAGCATTTGAACTTGTTGTTGCCATAAATGAACGGATAGACAGTTGAGAATTCGAATATTGTTAAAGCGTTTTGTCTGACGTCTGGGTTTCTTGACTTTGTAGGGGCACTTTCTCTGAATTTGGGCAGGATGTGTTCTCTGGGAGGCGTTGACGATCTGCCACCTAAAGATACGGGTGATGGACTGCGCGATGGGGTGAATGCTTTGGATATACTTGTGGAAACTTTCACGCTTGGTATTCGTTGCCGTAATTTAAGTTTGCTGAAGTCCGTTATTGTCCCCAGAGGCCTACACAAGCTGCGGTCGTACGCGACTTGAAAGAGAGGCACGATGCGTTTCTGCTTCGTCGTTATTATTGTCTGGTCGGTTCCTAGAAAAGAAATAAATAGAACTGTACTTTGGAGCGACAACGGCTGCATGCAGTTAAGTTCTGGCACATTAAATACAAATAACCTTGCCCCTGTTTTCATTGGTTTAAGAGACTTAATTATTAGGTGTGTATCAAAGATTTTAATTGACGTTATGGAAGTTATGTAGGTAATAGTAAAAGTACCTGTATATTACTTTAATTTTGACATAATACTAAATCATAGAAGACCATTATCAAGTTGGAGCAGTGTTGTAAAGGACATCTGACATTTTGAGTGCTGGTCCCACCGTTGGAGGATGGTGAATCTTGGCATGGTGCTTCAAACTGCAGTTTTGAACGAACGATCGTCCACAAGTGGTACAAACAAATCTCCTATCGTTATCATGAATCCTCATGTGTTCTCTTAAAGTATATTTTCTAGCATATGCCTTTTTGCAAACGTTGCACTGATACTTCCTCTCCCCTCCGTGTCTTATCATGTGTTCCTTTAATTCCGATTTGGAGTAAAACTTCCACTCGCACACATCACACGCATGTCTCTTAACTTTTAAATGAACTGTCCGTATATGGACCCCTAATTTCCCACTCAGCGTAAACACTTTAGGGCACATCGTACATTTAAATTCCTTTAATTTCAACCCATGTACGTTCGATATGTGTTTATTCCTTTGAAAATAATTCCGAAAAGTCTCTGGACAGTGTGGACATCTATGCCTCTTTACTTGCATATGGACTGTAGCGTGGTGTTCATTTTTGGCATTCGTAGACCTAAAGACTTTGTCACAGCTCTCACAAGGAAAAGACCCGCTTTCATGGGAGAACGCATGAGTTCTCAACCTTTCTGGGGTAATGAAACCAGAACCACATTGTTCGCATATAAAATTCTGGAAATGCACGTTCATGTGTTGGTTAAGAGACTTGAACTCGGCGTATCTATCACAACATATGGCACATTCAAAGTTTTCCCTCGTCAATTTAAATGGGAGGAAACCATCACTGGATTTCGGATCGATATTCTTCTCGTGTTTAATTAGAAGATGTTTTTTAACTTCAACAAAATCGTTAATGTTGTCGTCGCAGAGTTTACAGTTCGCGTTTGTGATATCTACTTTTATGAGCTCGTATTTTTTGAGTTTGGATATAGCTTCTTTAATATGGGTGGGTTTTAGAGAAGAGTGTTCCATAGAGCTATGTTCCCTCAATTTGGCTGGGTCAGAGAACTGTTGCTCGCAGTAGAAACAAAGATACAAATTCTTGGTCCATCGGAAAGGGCATATCTTTGTGAGCTCCAGCAGTATTGTCGCTTGCTTTTTTCTAGCTTTCAGCTCGTCATTTATGTCCTTCGCTTGATTGAGTGCGTACCTTGACGATATCGCAGTTTCGTTCACTTCGGAACTTATCTTCATAGGGAGAGACGGAGCTTCACCTAAAATAAGAAAATAAGCGTGCATGAGCATCTTTCGTCATTTAGTTGGCATGCATCAAATACACGTTAAGTATAAAGGTAGATTAATAAATATAAACGTTTGTGAGTTATTTTATCGTGAAACTGCTCATCCACGTTCATTTTCTAAGATCCTTTGCGAGAAAAACCAGTTCGTTAAATAGGTACCTAAGTTGTTTTTCAACAAATATAAATAATAGTGACGTAGGTAAAAAACTGACATCAGGGTCATCAGGTAAGAAATAGCATCAGCTAAAAATTTAGTAGTAAATGAGACAAGAATGAAATAAAACATGTTATAATTCGAAATATTATTTACTATAGAAGTTAGCAAAGATATACAAGTTGAATAATTAACTATGTAATTAAGTAGGTACACTTTACATAATCCACCTAATAAAAATACTTATTGCACCTCATAACTTAAAATTAAAGGATCATTTTTGTAACTAGTCCTACTATTTATAAAGTTCAACGTTGTATCATAGAAAATTCCTTGTGGTGCGTTTTCAAATGACCTTTCAAACTGCAATTTTGTATGAACGCTTTATCACAGTGCTGACAAGCAAACCGACGATCATTATTGTGTATCCTCATATGCTCAGTAAGAGTCTTCTTTCTGGAAAACGCCTTTTTACAAACTTGGCATTTGAAGTTCTTTTCGCCTGTATGACAAATCATATGCCGAGTCAGTGATTCCTTACTAAAAGACGAGTACTCACAAACATCACAAGTGAATATTTGCGTTTTAATATGATTTCGGCGCTCGTGCGCTCGCAAGTAGGAACTGCTGAAAAACACTCTCGGGCAGTACCCACATTTGTAGTCCCTCATCTTCATCCCATGTACAGCCAGGGAATGCTTCTGTTTCTGATAGTAGTCCATGAATGTCTCTTCGCAGTACATGCACTTGTTCCTTTTTGTCTTCAAGTGTACCGTTTGAATATGCAGCTGTTTTGACGTGATCTTGCTAAAAACTTTACCGCACTCTTCACACGGGTATGATCCTATTTGGTGTGAAACAACATGCGCCCTCAAACGTGACTCCGAGGAAAATCCAGCTCCGCACTGATCGCAAATAAACTTCATGAAATGCTCGTTTATATGCCTATTCAGAAGCCTGTAATTCTCCAATTTCTTTTCGCAAATCACACAGATAAACTCATCCTGCGTTATTCTATAAGGCAATACCCCATCGTTGTTCAAATCAATGGGTTTCTTATGTTTCCCAATCAGATGGTGTTTCAGATCTTCAAAATTGAACAGCTCGTTGCTGCAAAGCTTGCAGTTGTAATCTAATACATTGATTTTGATCGATAGGCATTTGCTTGACCTTCCTGTTGCCTTTCTTATGTCATCTTCTGTCATCTGTTTGTGTTCTAGTTCAACGTGTCGTCCCAATTCTGGCATGTTAACAAACAGGCTGGGGCAGTAAAAGCACATGAAGCCCCTGTGGAATTTAAAGGGGCACACGTTGGTGCTGTGGATGAGCGTGATGGCACTCTCCCTACTGATTCTCTTCTGTTCTACATCTCGAGTTAACGTCTGGTCGTCGTATCCGGCACCCATAATTCTGATGGGAAGGACTTTGACAACATTATGTACGCCTGTTGCGCTTGCATCACCTATAATAAGAAAAAGATGTTGTTTTTAAACAGATAGTGTTGGGCGGAAGAAGCTCCGTAGCAGGCTATGTATGTATGTAATGTACCTAAGTATGACAGTTGACCTATGATTCAAAGAATAAATTCAGAAGTAAAGATTACGAGTAAGTAGGTATCCTACTTTTAACACTACTTAGTGTACTTACTCCTCAGTCGAAGATACCTTTGAAGAAATAGTTGTAGATGCCATAGTGAAGTAGGTATTTATTGCAGCATGATTATGAGAAAAAATAATTACTGCAGATTTATTTATTAGAAAATATTCCAGTATCTAGATACTAGCTTATAACTTTATAAATCACTAGCTGACCCGGCGAACTTCGTACCGCCTTAGCGTAGAGATTTTCTTAATATTTTTTTCCGTAAGAACCATCCTTGGACTTCCACAAACATTAAAAAAAAAGAATTATCGAAATCGGTTCAGCCGTTCACACGTGATGCCGTGACAACGCGAAACGGGTTTCATTTTTATATATATAGATAACATACAAATACAACAAAGTATACAATAACAGAGAGAAAAGTTCTTATGTCAGTAATCTACAAAAAAATTGTAAGTTTATAATCAGATTGGCATTTAGTGGAATGCCCCCTTTCTTTTATTGAATGCCATATTTAATTTTGTCTTAAAAACCAGCGCATTTATCTGTAGGTATAACTTGAGCAATTAATTTACAGTTTTCTGCGATAACGTTACAAACATTAGTCTTCTTATTCCTGTATTTGACTATCACCATTCTGGTGTTCCCTATGGTGCGTCTTCAAATGCCCTTTCAAACTACACTTCTGGACGAACGCTCTCCCACAGTACTGGCAGGCGTATCGCCGATCGTTATTGTGTATTCTCATGTGCTCTTTCAAAGTCCTGGCTCGCGCGTACGATTTCTTACAAACTTGACATTGGAACTTCTTCTCGTCCGAATGACAGACCATGTGGCGGGTCAGGGTGTTCTTATGATGGGTTTTATAGTCACAGACTTCGCACGAGAACGTCTCTGCTCTGATATGGCAAAGACGCTCGTGGGAACGTAAGTTAGAGCCTCTGACAAACACTTTAGGGCAGAAACCACACTTGTACTCTCTCATCTTGATGCCGTGGACAGCGAGCGCGTGCTTCTCTTTCTGGTAATAGTCCCTGAAGGTTTCGTCGCAGTACTTGCATTTATTCCTCTTCACCTTTAAGTGTACCATTTCAATGTGAAGTTGTTTAGACACCATTTTGCTGAAATGTTTGCCGCACTCCTCACAGGGATATGAGCCCTTTTCGTGGGAGGCAACGTGAGCTCTCAAGCGCGAGTCAGAAGCGAATCCAGCTCCGCATATATCGCAGATGACTCTGGTGTAGTGCTCGTCCATATGTTTGTTTAGATGCCTGTAAATCTCCAGCTTCTTTCCGCACAATATTCATATGAATTCGTCGTTCATAACTCGAAAAGGCAAGACTCCATCGTTAGTCAGGTCGATCGGTAGTTTATGTTTTCCAAGCAGGTGGTGCTTTAGGTCTTCAAAATTGAAAATTTCATCGTTGCAAAGCTTGCAGCCATAGTCTATTATATTGATTTTTAATAGCTGACGTTTGCTTATCCTAGCGGTTGCTTTAAAAATGTGGTCTTTAGTTATGTTTTTGTGCTCAAGTTCGACGTGTTGTCCCAATTCTGGCAGGTTCATGAACTGGCGAGGGCAGTAAAGGCATATGAAAAATCTGTTGAATTTAAAGGGACAGACGTTGGTATTGTATATTAGGGCGATGGCGCTCTCCCTACTGATTATACATATTCTGTTCTATATCGCGTAACTTAGCGTCGTTGTCCCTGACAATTCCAACACCCTTGGCTTTGATGGCAGAGACCTTAGCAACTTTATGTACGCCCGTTGAGGTTGTATTACCTATAAAGAAAAATACCTTGTTTTATACAAAAATTGTGTTGAAACAGAATCATTACATAATTTTGTAAACTTGCGTAGATGATCTAAACTGAACTGTCCCACCAAACTCATTGACAGAGGGGCACCACCCACCACCGTTCAACTATATGGTTTCCAACATGGCAAAAATCGGAACCAGCGATCCGGTATTGACGGTGGCGCCCCGCTTTCAATGTCACGGGTAGGACAGTTCAGAATAATGGGTCTTGACGGTTATTACTATCTACGGACAATATTGATGAGTTGATTTACGCATTGGATTTACGAGGATAAAAAGTATAATTGTTTTTCAATAGTTTTAAGATAAAAAAATAAAATAACATTATGGCTCTATATCCTTTAATGGAGAGTAACGACAATAAAATACAATATTATGTCAAAATAATAGTTAAGTACTTAAAAGAATAATAACAGTGGATAACATATTCTCATAACTTCATACGAAATACACAAGTTTACTCGTATAAAAGAATAGATATTAAATTATGAATTTTGGGTTCTTCAGTGTAACAGTTCAGTGGAAGACAACATAATTTATTGAATAGGTTCAACAAAATATTGCATTAACAATTAAAACGATATACGCTCAATGGACAATATTATTGCCTGTCTCGAAGCGCTGGTAGGGCCCAAAAGATAAGGAGACATGTAAAGTGACCCTTAGGGGCCTTTTTTTACCGCATTTGACGTTCATAAGTGCCACCAGTGGTCAAAATTTAATAAAATATTTTTGATTTCATTTGCAGTTTCATACAATTAGGAGTTCTACGTAACATCGTCCATGGAGACTACAATTTACAAAGTTTCATCAAATTACAGTCCCAATGCATTGCGATAAATTATACTTGATCTAGCTGTAGATTATCCTCCTTCATCTGATCCAGATGATGTGTTTTTAAGTGGCCTTTCAAACTGCACTTTTGGACGAACGCTCTCCCACAATACTGGCAGGCGAACCGCCTGATATTGTAGTGTATCTTCATGTGTTCTTTCCAAGTTCCTAGCCGAGCGTAGGACTTTTCACAGACCTCACATTTGTACTTCTTCTCGTCAGAATGACAGATCATGTGGCGTCTTAACGTCCCTTTATCATGAGACTGGTATTCACACAGCTCGCACGCGAACACTTGAGCTTTTATGTGATTGTAGCGCTCGTGACATCGAAGGCTGCCGCTTCTCGAGAAGATTTTCGGGCAAAGGGAACATTTGAATATCCTCATCTTAATCCCGTGCGCATCTAGCAAGTGCTGTTGCTTTTGATAATAGTTTTTAAAGAGCTCTTCACAGTACATGCACTTATTCTTCTTAGCGTTCAAATGCACCGTCTGAATGTGCACCTGCTTTGTAGTAATCTTGCCGAACACTTTGCCACACTCCTCGCATGGGTAAGCTCCAACTTTATGCGATTCCACGTGTCTCCGCAAACGCGCTTCAGAAGCAAATCCAGCTCCACACTGATCACAAATAAACTTCGTGTAATGCTTGTTTATATGCCTATTCAGCAGCTCAAACTGCTCAAATTTCGACTCGCAAAGTACACAGATGTACTCATTCTCCGTGATTTTGTAAGGCAGAACCCCATCGTTGTTGAGGTCGATTGGTTTTTGATGTTTCCCTATCAGATGGTTTTTGAGATCTTCAAAGTTCGATATTTCATCATTACATAGCTTGCAACTATAGTCCAAGACATTAATTTTAATCGGCTGGCATTTTTCCTTCTTAACCAAAGCCTTTCTTATGAAGTTCTCTGATAAGTTCTGATGTTGTATATCGAGATGTTGGCGTAGTTCTTGCATGTTCACGAATTGTGTGGGGCAGTAGAGACAAATGAAACACCTGAAGAATTTGAAAGGGCAGACATTCGTATAGGAGATGAGCGAGATGGCGCTATCCCTACTGACTCTCTTCTGTTCTATGTCTCGCAACAACACGGCGTTGCTTGGAGCTCCCACAATGACCGGTTGATTATTACCATCTGACCCATCTGAATTACATACGTCCGTGGCGGTTGCGTCACCTATAAAGAAAAAGACCTTGTTTTTAAACAGATAGTGTTGCGAAACATCAGCATCGTAAACCAATAAGAAAATAAGATTATCTGTCTATCTGTAAGGACCTATATTAATTGTAAAATAACTTACTGAAATTATGTAAACCCTGGTATTCCTAATACTATTCACAATGATTATATGACTTTCCGTAACGATAACGAATTAACTTGTGATATAATTATTCGGATACGAAAGTTAAGATGATAAGATGCACAAATCAAAAGTAATGTGAGGTACCTATTTAAACCTGTGTGTGTATTGTAGTCAGTTGATAGCTAAATACGCGAGTAAGGGCGATGTTACACTTCCATACATTTTACAATCGTTTTTCCACGTCCACTTAACTATGGAAACTTTGTTTCGCCTTCATCCAGTAGAGTCACAGATTACTTACTAATAATTTACTTAAGTTGAGCCAACGAAACCTTTTCAAGTTACAGAATTTGTTTGGGTTCTGTTTGGGAATAAAGTTTAGCCGGCCCCACACTTTGGTCCCAACTTCCAACACCAACGAACTAGAAAATAAAATAGTATTGGCACCAACGTTGGGACATCTTCACATTGACTCTGACTTGACAGGACTGGTATAATAGCCGACCCATGGACCTATCCTTAACCGAATATAACCGACCTTAGCCGACCAACGTTGGTACGAGAGTTGGCAGCAACGTGGCGCTCGTGTTAGAGAATTTGGAGAGCCTCAATACCTGCAGGGCTATTCCGAATAGCTATTTAGGTAGTTTCAGGTCTATTTGTCACTGTCGCTCTTGCTGACGTCTCGGTTTGCGTGACAGACATAGGCTAAACTTCTGATAACGTTTTTCGGAGTAACCCGCTGTTCCTTTCAATATCTGTTATAGATTGTTTTATTTCGCAGGCTTGAAAACAAATCAAGTGAGAGGGCGGTAGAGACAACAGGCAGAAAAAATCAGAGCATATTTCGAACATAAGTATTTTATTGCAGGAAAGTACTTATGGCTAAAATAATAATGACAACAATCGTATTATACAACCCGATTGAGTTAACTGCGCACCTGGCGGCCGTGACGTCACATCGACGCTCTGGTACGGACGGGGCGAACGCGGGGAGTTGGGCGGTTGAGTGCGAGCAGAGTAAATACAAATGAGTAGGTCATCTTCATAGAAACGCACCGAGCGCGGTTTGTATGTGAGCGCGCCAATACTGATAAAATTCGGCGCAACTCCCCGCTAATCCACGCTAATTTTTTGTCAGTGTGTGCGTGCGCGCCGCATACGTATTGGCGCGCTCACATACAAACCGCGCTCGGGCGTTTCTATGAAGATGACCTACTCATTTGTATTTACTCTGGTGCGAGGGAGTCGCATTCCAGCGTAGGTAAGCAGTTAACTCGACCGGGTTGAATACTAATATTATTAAATTATTGATACTTTTAAAATTTATTTACTTTAAATGCGAGTGATCTTACAGATAAAAAATATAAATGGAGTAGTCTGCAACATTTTTAGGAATATAATGCAGATTACTGCAGTACCTAATTAAGTATCTAAATTACATGAACAATGCAATAAAACAATCAGATACCGAAAAAAATAGACTATAACTGTGAAAAGGTTATTCATTCATAGCTAGACACAGTCAACAATATAATATAGAGAAGTTTGGACTCAGAATTGGAAGAAGTACGAAATATCAAGTTATCTAGGAACGCAAGCTTGGAAAATAATAATCCTACGCGCATGTCTGTGATTCTTGGATTTTCTTTTAAATTAAAAATGGCCATCAAATATTACTCAATTTTGATTTCATTTCGATGGTGTGTCCTCATATGACTTTTCAAGCTGCAGTTCTGCACAAATGCACTGCTGCAGTATTGACAGACGAATCTCCTGTCGTTGTTGTGGATACGCATGTGTTCAGCCAAAGTTTTTTTGCGGCCATACTTCTTTTTGCACACCTGGCATTCGAAATTTCTCTCGCCACTGTGACAGACCATGTGATCCCTGAGTACAGCGGAATTGGAACAAGTCTTCTGGCATATTTTACACTCGTACTTTCTAGTTTTTAAATGATGCACCTTTTCGTGAACTCTCAACTGGCCACTGAACATATAGACTTTATCAGGGCACATCGCGCACCGGAACTCTGGGACTTTGACACCATGCACTCTAACCATATGTCTTATTCTCTGCGCATACTCCTTGAACAGTTCTTTGCAGTGAGGACACCTGTGCTTGTACACCTTCATGTGGATCCTCATGACGTGATCCTTTTTCGCAGCAATCCTTCGGAAGACTTTGTCACACATCTCGCATTTATATGACCCAGTATCGTGGCTTTGAGTGTGAGCCTTCAACCGCTCGTCAGTTGCAAAGCCAACACCACATTGCTCGCAGACGAAGTTTGGGAAATGTACGTTTATATGCTGGTTTAACAGTCGGTAGTTATGAAAACTTTGTGGGCACATGGCGCAATTGAACCCGTCTGAATTCATCCGGAAAGGAAAAACACCATCGTTATCCGCGTTCAGTTTCATTTTGTGCTCTGAACCAATATGTTCTTTGAGACTGTTGAAGTCTTCAGCAATATGATTGCAGAGTTTGCATACGAAATTGGTATAATTCACTTTGACTTTCTGGTATTTCCCAAGCTTGATGAGCGCTTTGATTATTTGTATCTCTGTAACTTGGTGTTCAGCGGAGTTGTGTGTTTCTAAATCGGCAAAGTCCGAGTATTTCTTGTCGCAGTAAAAGCACAAGAAAATGTTGTTCCACCATTTAAAGGGCAAAGCGTTGGTGCT